CTCCCTCTGACGCTCCCCCCCTCATGCTCTCTCTATCTCATTCTCTCTCAAATAAATGAATAAAATCTTTAAAAAAAACCCACAAAACATTAAAAAAAAAAAAAGAAGACAAGCTATTGAGATAGTTAAAGTAACTGGTAGCTTCAGTTTCAAGTGGAATGAGAGGTTTGAATTTATCTGCATTTCAAACAAGAGTTTTGAAAGTAAAGGTGAATCAAGTTGATTAATTATAATTAGCAACATTTAGAAATTAGCCAAAGCTAAAGCTAGTTTAATCTTTATTTTCTGTTAACATAACATATAATCTGTTTTCAATAGCTCTAAGATGTGTTTTGAAATTAAAAATTTTATTTTTTAAAAAAATTTTTAAAAAGATTTTATTTATTTGAGAGAGAGAGAACAAGAGAGAATGAGGCGGACGTTAACCGACTGAGCCACCCAGGCGCCACCAAAATTTTAAAACTTAAAATTGGAATCATCATATATTACAAACATACAGTATTTGTAATTCAAAAAAAATGGTATATTTTTTCCATTTATACACTGATTCATAAAATTACTCTGTACCCTACTTCCAACAATGACAGAGACACATATATATGACTGAGTAATAACAAATCAATTATGGAGGGAGCTAACAGTGAAGAAGCATACAGATGGTGTCAATTTGAGAAGCCTTGTAAACTGTAAATAAGCAGTAATACTACACCCCTGTAAACAACCTTTCCTTCAAACCAGAAATTATAAATGAGATTCTAAGAAAAGACTCAAAAATGGAATGCTTTAAAAAACCCTCCAGGCATTAGTTTTTTGTTTCCATGTAATCCTCTAGGTTACACAGAGGATTGGGTACTATACTTAATATAAAGTACATTATAAGCAAAAATAAGACAAATCAATATCTAAAGAGATATAAAATAGAAAACCTCTCTGCTTTCCATTTCGACTCTAAATTGGCTTCCTACCAGGTTCTGAGCAATATTCCATTGCCAGCACCTTCAAAAAATGGAAGCACTCTTACGGGTGCTCTTATTCTGGTAGACTGCATCACCTCGTAGAAAGTTTCCAAAATGATTCCTTATAGTATCATACATCATTATTTAGGAACCAGCTTTTTTTTTTTTTTTTTTAAAGATCTTATTTATTTATTTGACACGAGAGCGAGAGAGAGCAAGCACAAGCAGGGGGAGCAGCAGAGGGAGAGGGAGAAGCAGACTCTCCGCTGAGCAGGGAGCTCCACGCAGGGCTCAATCCCAGGACCCTGGGATCATGACCTGGGCCGAAGGCAGATGCTTAACCGAGTGAGCCACCCAGGAGCCCCTAGGAACCAGCTCTTACTTCATCTGTGGGTATAATTTTTGTGCTATGTTAGTGTTCTGGAGGACTGATGAACTGAATATCAAGGTATTTATCACTAAGTTCTTTATTCTCTACTTGATTTAATACTTTGTTTTTTCATCACAAATTTATAGCATCAAAGAGCTGAAAAAAGACTGGAGCTTTGTCCTTGATGACAAGTTATATATATACAGCATGACAAAAGAACAGAAGCAGGGGTGCCTGGGTGGCTCAGCTGGTTAAGTGTCTGGTTAAGGTCACCATCTCAGGGTCCTGGGTTGGAGCCCTGCGTCAGGCTCCCTGCTTGGGGAGTTGCTTCTCCCTCTCCCTCTGCCCACCCCCCAACTCGTGCTCTCTCTCTCAAATACATAAAAAAAAAAAAAAAAAAAAAAGAGTAGAAGCAGAATGATTTCAAGAGCAGTATACAGATTTCCAATTTTCACTTTGAGACTGACTTTTACAGGTGACATCCCAACCGTCAGCAGAGGGCTAGAATGCACTATCTTAATCAGGGTGACTTTTTATTTTTCTCATGTATCACAGTCTGGAAAATGTTCTCAACATGAGGAAGTGGCCAGCCAGGAGGTGCGGTGGTTAAAGGGTCTCGAACATAGCAAGCATCTCAGCTCTGCTACCTACTCTGGGACTTGGGGCAAGATCTTTGAATCTCTCTGGTCACACATTCCTCCTCTCTAAAACGAAGCTAACCACAAGCATCGCTTGATGGAATTACCACAAGTACATATGGAAAGTGCTTAGCATGGTGCTAAGCTCAAGAAATACTATCTGTTTATTATTGTATATTAAAAAGATCGTTAAAGAAGAGCGGACCCTGAAACTCAAGCCATTTTAATTCTGAGTTTGGTGCCTTTTACATCATGTAAAGTGCTGTGGCTGCTGCCGTCTTGTACAGCTTCCAGAACCAGGCAACATACGTACAGCTTCCAGAACCGTGCCTATCATCATATTCCTGTTACCTCAAGTGCAAATCTCAAAAGGTCAAAGCATGTCATCCATTTTTCTTTTGTTTCACACATTAACATGGATTTCTTTGAAGGACGTACGTAGCTCTGGTATGTAACTTCTAACCTGTCACTTCAAAGCCTTTTACAGAATTCTTAGAAAGTTGAGTGTTTGTTTGGTTGAGAATTTTTCTTCACCTTATTTAATTAACACTAGGGGTTAACATTTTGTGATAGTACTCTGTCTTTGATAAAACACAAAATAGCGCTGTGATTCAGGATGAGTTCATACCCTATTTGAGCTAAAGGTATAATAATGCTAGGTCCTAAGCCTTAACATTTATGCTGACATCCTCCTAGAAAGCATAAAACATACAAGGCAACACCTGGTAACACTCGAAGGGAGCATGTCTGTTATTATAAAATCTTCTAATTTTTATTTTCTTCTCCTGGTATTTGAAATTTCAGGCATTCCATGGACAGCCTGAATGCAATTCTCTATTTCAAAGGAAATCACTTAACATTTGTACTTGAAAGAAGTCAATTGTATCCATTTGTCAAAAGTCCAGTTCAAACCTTACAAAGCCTATTCTAATTCCCTGCCAGATGAGATTTCACCTTTTCATCACTTTGTTTATACTCCTTTTATGGCAAATGTAATTAGTATTCATAAACATGTCTTACTTATCATCTTCAAAATACATCCAGAATCTCCTGCTTCTTACTACCTTGACCACAACTACTCTAGTCCAAGTTCCTGCCTGGGGCTGCCTGGATTCCTGCAATAATCTCTAACTGCTCTGGCCTTTTCTCCTTTGGTCCTCCCACTTCCACAACGCAGCTAGCATGATGCTGTATAAACTCAGGCCACATTATGTCACTCCTCTTCCTCATACCCATTCACCTACCCAGAGTTAAAGGCCAAAGTCCTTACAGGGCCCTAGAGGGCCTGTCCCCACCCAAGCCCCCAGCTTTTCCTCCTCTTTACTTCACACCCCACTCATGTTCCTTGAACTCACCAAGCATGCCCTTGCCATAGGGCCTTGCACTTGCTGTTCCCTTGCCACGGAAAATAACATGTCTTGCTCCCCAGGGTTCTCCAAGACTCTGCTAAAACATCACCTTATTAAGCAAGAGAGGCCTTCTCTTACCCCTCTGTATAAAAGTGGCAAATCTCTTCCCTCTCCATTCTCTTTATATCACTTTACTTTTTTTCTACAGCACTTACCAGCACATGGCCTACCGTATATTTAATTATTGCCCGTTTCCCTTCCCTTCAAAAAATGTAAGCTCCATGAGGCCAGGGACTTAATCTGCTCATTGCTCTATCCCCAGCACGGAGAACAGTCCCGGGCACATAGCAGGCAACAAATATTTACTGAATAGAGGAATGGCCCTTTCACCGTAGAACATAAACTCCCTGAATTCTCTTCTACCTTTTCCACATCACCAACTGTGGAGACCTTCATTTAATGGGCCCCCTTAACAAATGATCTTTGAATGAACGAAGAGTAAGGGAACTGAAGTTACTGAGAATGCTTGGCACAAATCTACAGAGAATGAGGGGTACCAACAATCTAAGCAACTACACATACCAGAGAGCACACTGGTTCTCAAATGCAAAGGCGGCTGTGCAAAGGGGAACCGGCATCTGTCAACATTTCCGGGCTGTCTTGGTGCAAGTTACCCACGTATCTATAAAATCTCCTGAAGCCCGCTCTCCTAATTCGCTCTCCCTAATTAAACCCTCTGTACCGGTGCTCTGCTTAGGTTCGTCCCCTACTCAAGCTCGGCTAGTCTGGACTTTAACCTTGGGCATCTGGCCGCCCGGGTACCGAACGCCGGCACGCAGGCCTTTCCGGGGTGACCAAGTTAAAGGGCAGCTCGGCCTCTGCAGGAGCTGCCCCCTAAAAGGCAGAAAGACGGTGGCGCAGATTCCCAGAGCAGCACAAGTACTTCGCTCAGGTTTCCGCGGGGTCCGGAGGCTCCGGCATCGAGCAGAGAGAGCAGGTCTGCCCACAAATGCCTCCACAACTCAAGCTGCCCGGTGGCCGGTGCAGCGCACCCAGCACCAAGGAAGCGCTCCGGGAACTGCAAGCCGCCAGGCAAACAGTACGGAAGATGAAGCTTTGCAAACAATACCTGAAAGAGGCGGGGGACGAATAACTTGCTGACAATGGGCACCGGTCAATACTGGGGGGCGGGGGCGCGGTGGCGGGAAGGACCGAGAGACGCTGCAGCCCCCCGCCCGCGGCCGGGGGCGCTCCGAGCGCCCGATTCTGGGGTCGGGGTCCCAGGCCAGATGCGCCCCCAGACCCCTGTCAATCCGGGCACCGGGCCCCTTCCGCCGTCGGCCCCCACGGCCCGGTCCGCTGCGCCGCGTCCCGCTCGCAGGACCCCCGGGCCGCCCTCGAGCCGCTCTCGGCGGCCGCCCGCCCGCCGCCTCCCCCGCGGCGACTCACCGGCGCGCGCCCCGCGTCCTCCTCTTCCTCCCTCCCGAGGCGTCTGGAGCCGACCCGCGGCGCCGTCCCGCCTCCCGCCCTCGCCCCGCCCCCTCGGGGCCGGAACCGCTCCCGTCAGGGCCCTTCTCCCCGCCTCCTCAGCCCTAGTGTGGCGTCACTTCCGCCAGCGCCGGGCCGCGCGCCGCGACTGGGGGTGTCGCGAACGCGCCGGGAGCGTCCCAGAACCGGGAGCGCGCCCCGCGGGTGACAACAAATTCGTCGCGCGGCGGCGGTGGAGGAGTCCGCCTCGGTGCCTGCCTCAGGGCCTGCCGCCTCCCCGCGTGTTCTCTTGCATCCTCTCTCGGTGACTTCTAGGGCCCTCGCGGAGGCCCCGCACTCCCTCCCCGGGCCTGGGGCGACGGGGACTCCTCCGTGCCTGGTCCCCGCCTGGCCTAGCGCGAGCCGCGCGGCGCGGACGATGGGGTCGCCCTGAGGGACGCCCGGCGCCGAGCGGGCATGGAGGGGCTGTCCCGGGCATAGGCCCCGCCGCGGACCGGGCACGCGGGCCGGGACCCGAGGCGCCGCCGCCGCGGCCCGGAGCCGGAACCTGGGCCCCAGCGCCGGAGCCGCCGCCTGCAGCCCCCGCGGGCCCCGTTGCCAGCCCTCATCATGCCTTGGCCGTTTTCGGAGTCCATCAAGAAGAGGGCCTGTCGGTACCTCCTGCAAAGGTACCTGGGCCACTTCCTGCAGGAGAAGCTGAGCCTGGAGCAGCTCAGCCTGGATCTGTACCAGGGCACCGGGTCCCTCGCCCAAGTCCCCTTGGACAAATGGGTAAGAGCCGCCGGCGGCCAGCCGGGTGGGTCTGGCTCCCATTCTTAGGGCGATTTGAACGAGTGTCACCCGAGCTTGGTGACGTTCATCCCCTCCCGGGGAATTGTTTGGGTCCGAGGTTTGCAGGGCTCACGGAAATGTGTTCGAGTGTTTAGTCTGTTTCTAGCAAGTTGCGTCCCGAAATCACGTGTTCCAGAAACTTAACAGAGGTGATGGAGTCTACAGGGAGGGAAGCAGTTGCGTCGGTGGTTTGGGGATTTTGGAAAGTTGGCCGCGAGGGGTCCCTGGAAGGTGGTGAGCAGGGCTGACACTTGGGTAGCAGGGGTCGCGGGGTTCTGTGGCAAACAAATCCGATTTCATGGGATGACACTCTGGAAAGATTAAGGATGAGGAGGACCTTTGGGGATGTCTGAATTCCTAGTTATTCCTTTATTTATTTTGGGTTGGCCACTTGAACACCGTGGTCTCCGTACAGCGTCTGCCACCTGGAAGGAAGTTAGGTGAAGGCCTCCGGCCGGCCGGTTTGCCTGTTTTTTGCTTGATGATACGTTTACGAGGCCGGCCTGTGAGTGGTGGTGGGGCCCTAGGAGTGCTGGTTAGTTCTGCTTATTCGCTTCACGTGACCGATCGTAAAAGCAGGTGTTGCAAAAGCGCTGAAGCTGCGATTTTCAGACATTTAAAAACCTGTTTTCTACTTGTCAGCCAGAGGCTGTGAGTTGACTCAAACTGTGTGTTTTACAGGTGCTTCACGTATAGTTTAACTCACCACGTGTGGTTGTACCTGCATTTGCATGTTCAGTGCGTTGTATTTCACTTAAACTGTATTTAGCCTTGAGTTGAGCAAGAACGGAACGGCTTTTCTCCTTCCCCCAACCCTTTATTTGTTGGCTAGAGTTTGCTGCTGGCAGTTTGAATTGGTTGTGCTATCTTAGAGTTTTACTATTCTAAAAGCACTCCTACACAGGTTACACTTAGGAAATTATAAATATAGGTGACTTGCCGGTGATAGTTGAGCAAAACAAAAGGAAGCCTCCCCCCTCCCCCATTTAAACTGTTGAAAAAGCTTAAATATATTTTACTTTTATATAAAGGTGTTAACAGAGGAATGACTTCTATAGCCACAGAAACCTGAATAATTTCGATTATGCTAACACCTTATTATGACCCTTTGGTGAATTTGTACTAGTACGAATAAACATATATCTTTTTTCAGTAAGTAGATGACTTAACTAGGGAAAGTACAAATAATAGTGGAAAGAGCCCTAGTCCCACACAAGGCTAGGTCATGCTAGCCAGGCTGCCAGTTAGCTCAGTGACAGTAGACGTCGTAGGCAGACACTTAACTGACTGAGCCACCCAGGCGCCCCAACTTTATGCATTATTTTTTAATGACTTGTCACATTAACCCCATAAGGTGGGTATTATTATTTCTATTTTATTTTATTTTTTTATTTTTTTAAAGATTTTATTTATTTATTTGAGAGAGAGAATGAGAGAGAGCACATGAGAGGGGGGAGGGTCAGAGGGAGAAGCAGACTCCCCGCTGAGCAGGGAGCCCGATGCGGGGACTCGATCCCGGGACTCCAGGATCACGACCTGAGCCGAAGGCAGTCGCTTAACCAACCGAGCCACCCAGGCGCCCTTATTATTTCTGTTTTAAAGTTGGAATTAAAAAATGTGCCCCAAGTCAGACAGCAAGTGGTACTGTGAGAATTCAAACCTAATTCTTTTTTTTTAAAGATGTTATTTATTTATTTGAGAGAGAGAGAATGAGAGACAGAGAGCACGTGAAGGAAGAGGGTCAGAGGGAGAAGCAGACGCCCCTGCTGAGCAGGGAGCCGGATGCGGGACTCGATCCCAGGACTCCAGGATCATGACCTGAGACGAAGGCAGTCGCTTAACCAGCTGAGCCACCCGGGCGCCCAAACCTGTCTAATTCTTAAGCCCCTTATTTCTTCATTAATCACATGGCTTCAAGCCAGGGAAAAGGCAGTTAATGTTTATTGAGCATCTATTTATTTTAGGCACTGTGCTAGGCACTTTTATTTGTGTAGTTTTAATTTTCATGGGAAATCAGAGGCGGTGATATTTGTTTTTTTGTATGTTTTGTTTTGTTTCTTTTTTAGAGAGAACACACGTGGGGGGGCGGAGGGAGGTGTTGCAAAGGGGGAGAGAGGGGGAGGGAGAGACAGGGAGGAATTTTTTGTCGTTGTTGAGATTTTATTGATTGGAGAGAGAGAGAGAGAGGGAAAGAGTATAAGCAGGGGGAGTGGCAGGCAGAGGGAGAAGAAGATTCCCTGCTGAGCAAGGAGCCTGATGTGGGACTCGATCCCAGGACCCTGGGAATCATGACCTGAGCCGAAGGCAGCCACTTAACCAACTGAGCCACCCAGGCATCCCGAGAGGGAGGAATCTTAAACGGACTCCAAGCTCAACACAGAGCCCTACATGGATTCCAACCTTGATTGAGATCATGACCTGAGCTGAAATCAAGAGTTGGATGCTTAAATGACTGAGCCACCCAGGGGCCCCAGGTGGTAATAATTTACAATTTGACTTCAGGATTGTTAACATAACAATTTATGGCTAGACTTAATCTGAAGATTATGGTTCTGTTTTTTTTTTAAAGATTTTATTTATTTATTTATTTATTTATTTATTAGAGAGCGAGCGAGAGAGAAACAGCACAAGAGGGGAGAGGGTCAGAGGGAGAAGCAGGCTCCCTGCTGAGCTGGGAGCCCAATGTGGGACTCGATCCCAGGACCCTGGGATCATGACCTGAGCCGAAGGCAGTCGCTTAACCAACTGAGCCACCCAGGCGCCCTGGTTTGTTCTGTTTCTTGAAGGTGAAGGATATGCCCAATTAAAATGTCAAATAAAGGGGCACTTGGGTGTAAGCGTCTGCCTTCGGCTCAGGTCATGATGCCAGGGTCCTGGGATCGAGCCCCGCATCGGGCTCCCTGCTCAGTGGGAAGCCTGCTTCTCCCTCTCTCACTCCCCCTGCTTGTGTTCCCTCTCTCACTGTGTCTCTCTCTGTCAAATAAATTAAATAAAAATCTTAAAAAAAAATAAAATGTCAAAGCATTCAGTAAACATTTGCTGTTGCTGATTTATCTATTCTAGTGTGCTATGTATGAACTAGGATAAATTTTGATGTGACACTTAGCTATAACTCTTCAAGATTTTTTAAGATTTTATGTTATTAGGGAGAGAGCGTGCGAGCGCGAGTGCACCCCTGCACGCACAGGGGGAGCGTCAGGCAGAGGGAAGTCAGGCTCCCCACTGAGTAGGGAGCCCAATGCAGGAATTGATCCCCCTGAGCCCAAGGCAAATGCTCAACTGACTGAGCCACCCAGGTGTCCCAACTCTTCAGAATTCTGATTCCAAATTCAGTTGCTTTTGACTCTTGATTTTAATGACTTTCATGAGTGAAGCAAAGAAGATACCTGGCAAAGATTCATAGGTCCAAATGTAAGAGTCACATCATTGGTGACATTAGTAAATGTTTCAGTTCTCAACCATCAATTGTGCACAGGATTGTGTTGAAATTGGTTGTGACATTCCCTTCTTTCTTGGTCTCAGTTTTTCTTGCTAATTAATTGGAAGTCGTTGCATTTTTATATATATAAAAATTTACCTTTAAAACCTATTTTAAAGAATTCTTTAAGACTTTGATTCACTGGGATAATCTTTTCGTGTTTTCAAATCTTTTATAACCTATGTAGATGACTTTAAAAAATAGACAATATTTTTAATTGTTTCAGTAACAAAATCATGTACGAATGGAAACATTTCCAGATATAATTTTCCAGAATGTCTTTTTTGTAATACAAGTATCCTTTGAAAAGCATTTTTTCCTTTTTAGTCTTCTTTAAGATTTTATTTATTTGACAGTGAGAGAGCACAAGCAGGGGGAGTGGGAGTGGGAGAGGGAGAAGGAGGCTCCCCGCTGAGCAGGGAGCCCGATGAGGGGCTTGATCCCAGGACCCCGTGATCATGACCTGAGCCGAAGGCAGACAGCTCAACCGACTGAGCCACCCAGGCACCCCAGTTTTTTCTTTTTTTTTTTTTTAATATTTTATTTTTAAGTAATCTCTACACCCAGCATGGAGCTCGAACTCAATCCCCAAATCAAGAATCACGTGCTCTACCAACCTAGCCAGCCAGGCACCCTGAAAAGCAGTTATTTTCTCACTAATTAAAATGATATCTTTACTTTTTTTGTTGGGGGCAGGGCAGAGGCAGAGAGACAATCTCAGGCCGACTCCATGCTGAGGGCTCAATCTCACCACCCAGAGATCATGACCTGAGCCAAAATCAAGAGCAGACACCTAACCAACTGAGCCACCTAGGTGCCCCTAAAATGGTGTCTTTACTTTGAAAAGATGGTTTTTTTTTTTTGTTTTTGGAATATAACTGCTAGGTAGTGTATGCTGTTGATAGCCATGGGTCATCACATAAATAGTATATTTGGAACTCTTTGTGTAGAAGAAAACTGCTTATCATCTTTAAATTCAACTCTTAAATATTTGGCCATAAGAAAACCAGGAAATCAAAGTTTTTGCCATATTCTGTCTCTTTACCAAGATCCTACTGTTTCAAGATCTGTTTTTATTAATGTAGAATCTATGCTAAATAAGGTTCAGTATGCTGAAATGGAATATCCAAGTGAGGGCACCACTCTTTTTTTTTTAAGATTTTTATTTATTTATTCATTAGAGACACAGAGAGGCAGAGGGAGAAGCAGGCTCCCAAGGAGCAGGGAGCCCGATGTGGGACTCGATCCCAGGACCCTGAGATCATGACCTGAGCCGAAGGCAGATGCTTAACCATCTGAGCCACCCAGGCGCCCGAGGGCACCACTCTTAACATTACCCCAGTGTGGAGCTGCTGTTCTTTGCTTTGTGCCAATCTGATGAATGGCGTGAGTGAGAGTACCAATGCCCATTTGTATATTAAATATTGGTACAACTGTTAAATCTAAAAATGTGAAAAATTGA